ACAGGACAGGATGTTTCTTAATACAGAGTAAGCACTTGGTTGCTACAGCTCTTTACTTACTACACACAAATCTGGGAAAACCAGACAATATTCTGTCCAAAGTGTTCCCAATGAGTGCTGAAAAGAACCAGAATTATTTCTGGATATAATGGGAGGGATTACATTATGACTCTACATGCAGTCAGTATGTTCTAAAATTTAACCTAACATTGCCAGAAATGAAACCACTCAAAGTTTCTATAGCCCAAAGGGAAAAGGTTTCACAGTTTCTTAGATTTCCATATCTTACCTGCTTCTTTTCCAAACATGTCTTCTCCACTCTAGCAATGGCTTTTGCGTAGTAACAACATTCTTCAACACATCCAGGCACTCAGCTTTACGCACCTCTGTAGGTTTTTGGCCAACTCTCTAAGCTAACCAGGCCAAACCCAAGTGTTAGTTGCCTGTTGATTCACATAACCTTGTGTCTTCTCAACCAGTTTATCTAACTGAGTAATCTTTCACTCTCTGTACAGAAATAAAGCCATAGGCTAAATACTGACATCAGTTACACTATTGCAAACTCAGACTATCTCTAACAGGAATCAATGATTTGGAACCATGCAAACAAACTTTACATTGTAAAAAGGTGAGATGTTTTGGACAAGTGATTTCACACAAATGTTCTTTCAGTCCCTTATATATAATACACACTCCTATACTGCATTCTCTTCCAAGGCCTCAATTCTTGAGATCCACAGACCAAGACACATGTCCATAGTTGACTTCCCCATGTCCATTAGACTAATTTACAAATGTATGGTATATGCCTGAATACACTAACATGAAACAGAAAAACAACATGGCATAAAAGTTTCTGTGGCCTGCTGCTTTACTTCCTGCTATAAACCACTTTTACATGACATCCAAAATGTTTTAATGAGTTTAGAATTACAGTGTAACCCCTGAAAAGAGATAACATGGAGACCCTCACTAACGACTAATCATTTTGATGGCACTTTCTTTTCCACAGTCCAAAAACTATTTTGTGATTTCAGTCTCCTATGTCAGAATGTGATAGAATTTCAGAAGACAGACAAATGTCCTGGTAGAGAAGTTTCCAGATTTGTGTCATCATACTAAAACTACAAAGATCATGCCTACAATAGCACTTCCTCAACTGCTACCATTGGTTGAATTAGAAGGCCAGTGGATGACAGGAAACTGTAGTGCTTGCATTTGTTCTGTTTAAACCATACTACCTTACATATTTTTTAAACAATAAAAACTAGCACAAGTCAAATATACAATCACACTATAAAGCAGTAGGTGATTGCATTATTTTAGTATGACCAGATGTGGCTTGATTTCTATATTAAGAGAAGGCATCTAGCAAGCTATGTTGATTTCTATGAGGTTGTATATTTTGTGACTACTGTAATCTGTCGGAGAGTACTACGTTAAAAATACAGACTGTATTTGCACTGTCTGTATTTACATGTAGACATACTTACAAGGGAGAAGAGTCAGTTGTCTTTTATTTCTATTGTTTTGAGGCAGCAAGATACTGTGGTGATGAGTGCCACAGACATGTTTATAAACAAGTATTTCTCTCTTGGAAAGGAAAAAGAGGTCCCTTCTGCACTTTCAGATTCCTCCAAATTCTCTTCCCAGTCCTGTCATTCCCTCATCCAATCAAACTGCCCATTTTCCAAATCATGTGTTACCATCAGTCAGACACTTGTCTTTTACTCATTATATTCCCTTACATTTCAGTATTTTCCTTGTATTATACTTCCTCTCCCCGTCTTGTCTCCAGGTCTTGAACTAAATTCTATGTTTCGGTCTCCATTCTCCTCTTAAACTTCCACTGACCACTTCCCAACCGTTTTTCACCCTCTCTGGCCTTGTGGGCATGTGTAACAGCTACCTCTTCTCCCCAACTTCCCTGAATCACCATCTTCATTGAAGTATGCCATATGTATCCCTGAGCCTGATCTCACTCTAGATCTACCCAAAGAGCATCTTGGATTTCCCATCGTCATATCAACATTAAAATCAGAGCATTATAGAAAGTTATTTAGATGGGACCTCTGGAGATTATCTCCTCCCACCTTCTACTAGAAGCTGTATTCCAGCCAACACTAGATTGTCAGTCAGCTGCAGCTCTTGCTAGCCAAGTCTTGAAAAACCTCTAAGGATGGAGGTGCCGGAGCTTCTCTAGGAAACCTGTCCCAGTGATGCACTACCCCTCCTGGCAAAGTTCTTCCTAACAGTCAGTCCAAACCTCCCAGACACAGTTTGTGCCTGCTACACCTTGTCATACCTTCTAACACCGCCAAGAAGAGCCTGACCCTGTAGTCTTCACAAGACTGCTTCCAGTGGCTACAGGCTGCTATTAGATTACCGGCAGACTCTTTTCAGATGGACTAAAGTTCAGCTCGCTCATCTTTTCCTCATTGGTCACAAACTCTAACCATCTTGGCAGCCTTCTACTAGCCCCTCCAGTTTCTCAATATCCTTCTTGAACTTGAGGGAGTAGTTTTCTCAAAACTGGATGCAGTGTTCAAGGTGCAATGTCATGAACACAAAGAACATGGGGATGATAACTACCTTCTCCAGCTTCTGGAAATGCAAAAAAAAAAAAAAATCCTCTCCAAAGCTGAATATTCATCTTACCTCCACATTACTCTTTTTTTCTGGCCCTGTCAACATTACTAAAGCCAGTTACCTTTTTTTTTTTCCCAGCTCTGTTATTTTCAATCTGTGTCTCAGTTACCCTGCTAACAACTTTTTAAAGTTCTTTCTCCTTATTAGCAAGTACACTATTTGTTCATTCTCCAAACCTTCTCTACACAATGGTCACCTTTCATCACTCTTTCATTCTTTCACCTGTTCAAAATATCACTTTTGAAAATTAATCTCTCTTTACACAGCCATGTCTTTGCTCTGTATCGCTTTATTAATGTATTTCTGGGTTGCCTATACTTCTGGCCCATCCTACTAAACCTCAGTCCATTTCCTTACTCCAGGGTGTTCCTCCTTCCCCTGCCTGATGTATGTCCAAGGTACAGTACTAGTACTATGTCACTGTGTGTTTACAAAAATCTCTCTTCATACACATTCAACTTCTACTATAATATCCGCTTGGTTCATGATAAATTCATGAAAAAAACTTTTTTTAAAAGGGTTTTTTGTCTATGACTATTTTATTTTGGGCACCAAATGCTGATCATTAGCAGTAGCTGCATAATCACCCCTCTTTATTGTTTTATGCCCTTCAGTTACATTTGCACTGCCTGAGTTGTGAAGGTAAATATCGAAAATATTAGCTGCAAGCTTCCTCAGAAGGCAAATCTTTCCCACATCCTTCCCTGCAGTTCCTCTTTAAGAGGTGTCAGCATGGCTGAGAGAATGAAGTGGCTCCACATTGTTTGCCTGAACCATTATGTGTTTAACATTTCCATAACAAAAGTGCCACTCGACTTCTCCCCGATTAATGCAGCTCGAGGGCTCTTGTCCTCCTTTAATAAAACATTGTTGAAATCATTTATTTAGAGCCCATGGTTACTAGTGGGAGAATGACCATCTTTGTGCCAAAATATAGTGTATACAGTCCACTATTTTGTAGTAGATCATTCTGTTATTTAAGAAATTGATTAAATGGATGTCTTAGAAAGTATTTATGCTAATAGAGCATTACTTATGTCATTCAGACAGTCAATGTGAGCCTTTTCAATTGTCTACTGCAGCCAATGCCTCAAGTAAAATACAGTAACTTTTGACTTTACTGCTTACAAATCTGTATCACAGACTTGAAATCTCACAGAGAAGCACTGGTCTTCCCATTTGAAAATGTTTTCTGTTGCAAGACTACCTGATTTTCCTGAGGACTTGCAATGGGTGTGTTATCACAAGCAGTGTGGCAGTATGTGATGCTATCACTGGGGACAGGAACAAAATCGATTGAAGGTGTGAAATTGTTTTAATGCAATGCAACTCGAGTCACTCCTGCAGCATTTTTCATGACTCAGCTGGTAATAATTTTGTGTCTCACTACTTTTCATAGGTGGATCTTGGCTATATTGGAGTTCATCTCACCCTCCTCCAGTGTACTCAAAATAAAAAACAAACCGAAAAGCAGCTACTGGTTTTGCATTGCACTGAGATGGATTTTGTCGTTCTGTACCTGCAAAGTTGTCTGCAGCCACCTTTGCAGCCCTACCACAGATACACTCTGTAGATGCATGCCTGCAGTGGAGATCTGGTACACTTGACAGCTCTTAGGAGAAGTGGAAAGGAGATTGTAACTAAAACCCGTCATGCTTTCCAATATGACTGTGAAAGACTTGGCCAAACCAGAGTTTTGCTTTCCATCATTGTAAGGCTTCATTTCATAACAATTTTGAAAGTTACATATGCCTGCCTGTATACATTGGTGTATAGTGTTAAAAATAAACAGAGACCTTATGTTATGTCCATTGTGATTGCATACAAAAGCTTTGCTGTGCGCTTGGGTGATCAGTGAAGCTTGAATCTCCCTCTATTTACTGTATGGTCACTGTCAGTTCAATGAACTGCCTCCTTGTTCTCCACCATTGTCCCACACTCCCTTAAACATTTGTCACTGAAGTGCCTCCAAAGACAAATAAACTGTCACCAAGAATTCAAACCTGGTAACTGGGAATAAAAAGGGAGCAGAACCTACTGGATTATTTTACATGAAATGGTGAAGAGTTCCTTCTCCCCCCCGGAAGAGACTGACTGGATGGGATCTTGACAAGGAGCACTTTCAAATACCCATATAAATGAGAGAACTTCCTTTCCTGTGGAAAAACCTCCCTCTGTCAGGGAACGAGTAGTCTTTTCCTTGCGTAAAGCAATCCTTGCTACATCCCTTGACATTTCAAGAATTTCCATTTGTCTCAAAATCAAGCAAACGAAATACGAATTTGATGGACATCAACATTTGCACAGGCTTTGCTGACCGGGACACATACCAATACAGGCAGCCATTTCTTCTGGAATTGTGCTTACGCCAGCAACACAGCAAAACCTGCTGAGTTACCTCCTTATGGGGAGGAGTTTCCAGGACAGAATTAGTTCAGCTGCATTTATTGTACAATTATTTAAATTAAAACAATCTACTTTCTGTGGAGAAGGAAGTATACAGATGAGTCCTCACTGCCTAGTGGTGCTCACTGTTGATTTATTCCAAGCAGATGCTTTTGACAGGAGCCTGTAAAATCAAGTCTTGAGTTTATTGTAGCAGTTAATTATCAGTCCTTTTCTAGTGCTAATGTCCTTACTCCTTACTGAAGAAAAATAAAGGCTTTTAGGTGGGATTTAATTTTTCATAAAGGAGTTAAATAGTCATTGTGGGCGCTAATTGTTGACAAACTGAAACTATACTTCTGAACATCCGAAGAACTGGAGAAAGTATTTAAGATCATCCCTACACAACTATGAACTCAGCACTTTGTAAAGAAAGCTGACGCTATTTACAACTACTCAGTTCTCTTGCTGAAGAAAAAACGTTTCCAGCCTTGTTTTAACAATAAGTTTACTCAACCATTCAGATGACTTTAAAGACAAACTTCAGATCATAGTCGCACACCATAATCATACACGTTTGGTATCACAAGTATTTGGGGGTTGGTTTATGCATGTGCATGTGCACCTGTGTGTGTTTACTGCTGGGCAACCTAATCAAATTCATACTCTAAATAAATAAAATAATCTGTCATTGAAATAACTAATCCAGAAGCAGGGATTTCTGATTTTGTTGATTTATACAACAGATGTGGAATTGTGCTCTGTCAAGGTCTGGTAAAATGAAAAAGACACTATCTTGCTAATCTCTCACCCCCTTAGTCAAAGTTTATTTGTGGTAGCTTTTAAACTTCTGACTTGCCTTCCAATTATGGCATTTAAAAATAAAAGTTTTAAATAAACACCATGAATAGAAGATAAATAAACTACATCCTCCCCCTTTTCCTTTTTTTTTTTTTTTTTTTTTTGGTGAGTGCCTAGCTTGACACAGTCCAAACTCAAATCCCCAGAGGACTGAGCTCTCTCTTTTGTGTTAATGTTTAAAAGATTTTCCAGTGCTGGAGTTTATTCCTACTGCAAACAATTTCTATTTACAAGGTCAAGTGTATCAGCACTCGACACAGCTTAAGAGTGTAATTATTTATCTAAGGGCGTTTGAGTGTAGATCAGTAGCTCTGGCAGCAAACCAGGCTTCAGCACGATGCAAAGCAACTCCCAAGAACAGTATTACAAGATTTAGTAATTGCTGATCCCTCCAGTGTGTTTACTTTTGCATTCTTCGTCGGGGAAGAAGGCAGGCTGAATGGCAACTTTTCGTGTTTTGTTGCAGCCCCCTTGATGCGTGCACCACTGCCTCCACGAAGCCTTGTTCAAAACGTTTGCCACCTCTGTGTAATGTATTTCTCACCATTTACTTCTTTGCACGCCTAGAAGCATTTCTATAAGCGTCAGCGAGAGCAACATGCCCCCACTTCATGAAGAAAGCACAGCACACTAGTAATTCTACATACATACAGGAGCAGAGTACTTGAATTGCTTTACTCTTTTCTGGCACTGGCAAGTTACCATGCCAACGCATTATAAAATCAACCACTCTTTTAAAGTAGTACTTTCAAAGCTGTATTTACTTCTTGCATGTAATTATTCATTAAAGTAAGAATAGCAGTAATTTACAACTATGTTAAGTATTACAGGCAGACAGAGATTTTTGTTTGTTGTTTTTGGTTTGTTATTCTGTGGTTTGCTCGCC